GTCGAGAAAGGAGGCGACCTCACTTTCGAGTTGGAGTTGATCGTCTAATTATTTCGTCATCAAGATGATGATTTAAGGTCCAGGATAGGTGGCAGTCATTTATAGCTCGACCAGGGGAATACGCTAAGAGAGGTAAGAAATCTTGCCGCAGCTCCAGAATTTCTTACCGGGCTCATTTCGGATCATGGTGATTCGCAATGTCATGAAAGAAATAAATATTGTCGCGGTACGAGGGCTCTTGACGAGCTGCCTCGGCCAGCTTCTGGAGTTCCGCAGCCTAGACCTCTACCTACACAATGGTGCCCATAACGAAGAATTTGTAGTGGAGCTTCCGTAAGAGCCCTACCTGTAATGGAGTGTGAGGGACGCTGCTGGCTTCTTATAAAAATATCAAAAGATCGAAAGCGCTGGTAAAGGTGAAACACGCTGTAGCGGTGAACGACATGCCTATTGAAGCTATTGCAGATAGTGTGGTCGTTGACACGAATCCATAGTTATGGAGACATTTGTACTAGACAGTGACTCGGAGTACGGATTTACTAGTGGTCGAGGTTTTTTGAATTTTCTTGGATAACTACTGACTGCAGCACTTATATCCACCTCGTGGATTGAAGCCTCGAGAATGCTCTACCATTTGTTAGTCATAAATGTTACCTATGAATTTTTCAGAAAAAAAGAAAATTTTAGAAAGAGTGTTGCAGAACTTTCTTTCCAACCTAATATATCCTCGTTCTCTAGGATGGATCTTTTTGAAATATTCATCGAATAGTTGGATCGGAAAACGTTTTGACTAGCATAATAGGTCACTTGGAAAGATTCTTCGGATCTCTTATTCTTATTCATTTTTATGATAGATATAATTTAAGATTGACGTGTGTTGTAAATTGTCGGGGATGCCGGATCTTACCATGACGCTTGTTAATCCACGCCTTCTTGATGACGTATCGTTTCATCCATGCGTTCGATTCAAGCGATGGGAGGTTTGTGTTTCCTTCATTACTCACCGTTGATGAATTACCGTTTTTTTTTCAGAATGAACGTGTGCTATCATTTGTGCCTCCTGATGGGAACTTTCGTTTGTTATCATATCACATTGCTACTCAAAAGTTAGTGATCTGGTTGTGTATAGAGAAATTGAGCGTCATTTTATGAATAACCAAATGCAATTCAGTATGGTCGCCATTCCTATTTATGTTCGGCATTCCATAGTGTTGAGAGGTGGAACTGGGAGTCGTTTGGAAATGACGGTTGGACCGAAGCAAAGCATGGGTAAAATCGTGAGTTTTTTCTCACGGTGTTGACTCCTTACAATACTTCCCTTTTTGGCGACTGAACCCCTGTCATGGGGACAACAGTTTCTTAAAGATTTTCAATTTGTATGGATTTTTCGTCAACTGTTGGCTCTTGATGGTGTGAGCTCTAATTTCGGGGTATTTCCTACCAGTTATTATTTTCAGTTAGAAGATGTTGTGGTGGAGATGTCCAATGCCGAAAGCAGTGTTGAATTGCAATCTAGTGCCTTCGCAAGGGAAGTGTACGTTTGATCCAACATCTCATCTGCTTCAGTGGACTATAGGCAAGATAGAACTTGGAAAACCGCCCAATATCAAGGGAACTGTAGGTTTTTTTTTCATTGTTTTCGTATATTGACATAGGCGTCGGTCAGAAGGGCCATGTTGCGTCGGCCCACAAACTCAAGAGCTAGTTGGGTTGTTTGCTACACTTCGCGTTAACATTTGGCGGAGACTCGATTAAAGTGCAGTGCTGTTTAGTTCACAACAGGAATTCAAGAAAAGCAGTTCAATCTATTGAATGCATCTCTTGTTTGGAATTCCAGGGATTTTGGAAGCATTCCATAACTTTCATGAGATTGAAATTCATCCCTCACATTACACATTTCCATTCAGTACTCAAATGTAGGCCGGTGCATGTGTGACCGGATACCGTACTGCTGTACTACACTGCTATGCGCTAAGCCGCGCCGCCGTAGCCTAGTTCTTCTGTGAGACCCTCTAGAGATACAAATTGCAGACATGATCGGGAATTCAGGTATCCGTCTCAGGAACGACGACTATAGAGACGCCACCAATCTCGCTTCGTTTCCGCATCAATCAGCTTGCTGTTTCCGGGCTCAAAGTAAATCGGTTAGATATGTATGGCGAGAAGTACAAGCCTTTTAAAGGTGTGAAATACATCACAAAAGCTGGAAAGTTTCAAGTGCGGACGTAATTGGGGAGCAATGTCTGTTTGGTTGCCTGGGCGGTGAGACCGGTCGCAAGCACTTCTTTTCTATATTGTAGATACGTGCGTTTTAGTGGCATAATTGTCAATCGATCTAGTAGGTGGAAAATGATACCACTGTTGCAATTGTTTATAGTTTCGGAATGTTTGATCGCATTGTTTCACTTTTTAATTTCGTCATTTCCTGAGTCGAATTATCCTTTTGAGCACTTCATCTGTCTCTTTCTTGTCACATTTTCTAGGGTCATGTGATTATAATTTATTGCGATATATATAAAATATTTATCATGATTCCGCAGTACTTTCTTGATGGTGTTGTTCCGCTTTTATTACGAATCTTGTCCATTCAAAGCTTTTAGGATGAAGCTATCAGCTTATTCAGAATGTTGAGTACTGGGCAATTAGTTGTTCGGCGTTTCCTCCAAACATCATCTTTGGCATGCCGGCAGAAGAACTTTCGTGAAGTGCTTCCACCGGAGGAGGTAGGTACATTTAGCTTCAAAATGAGTGCTGCATCGTAATTTTTGTAAACGGCTGAAAGTAGCTCTAGGCTGGCTGGGCTTTCAATCACATAGAGAAGAAGCGAGGTCTCTACAAACCGAAGCACACAGTTGAAGAACAAATCGCTTATATGAAGAGTAAAGGTCAGTTTGGCACGTTTTCTGTTTCCCTATATTTATTCTGATGATGTTAAATTGAAACTGGTTAAGCTTTCCAAGATGCCTATAAGGGACTGCCGATCTACCGTTGGTATAAACGAAATTTCAAGGTTTGTTCTTGAAGTTTTATCAGTGAGAAACATCAATGAGGAATGGTTCCACTCATGGTTACGCCCTAGCGTTACCAACAACGTTTTCCAAAAACATATATAAAGACGGGAGCGTGCGTTGCTAGGTCGCGATATGACGTCGCACAAAATTGCGCAGTGCTGTAAGTGCGCGGAAATCCACGGTAGTTCTGAAAAAGTCAAGCTATTCAAATGTGCAGGGTGCCGCGCCGTGATTTCACATCCTGTAGAAAGTGCGCAGCATGGCGTCGAGTCCTCCGTTTTACGTGTTTCCTCTGTAAGGGAGAGCAAATGCTCGACAATCAAGCATTCGACCAAGCATGTGGGTAAATCTGACAGGTTTTCTTTGTCATAATTTGTATTAGGGGTCGTTACACGGCATTGAGACTTTGATAGTGCATTAGGTTAGGTCGGCTTTGTGACGCGACCCATACATTGGAGCCCAGCGGGAGTAGCCCATTGGAGCTTTTCGACGAAGTTCGACATTGTCTCCAAGCTCCAAGCTTAGAAATCGGGGCGTTTCGGTTCTTGAACTACATTTGAACTTCCACTTTTGTACGTTTGCTTTTCATACTTTCATAATGTTATAAATATCATTCGCCGTATCGCCTTACATTCGTTCTAATAAGAAACATCTCAGCTTGCCCACGATTGTGGCTCATCAACTTGGCTCTGATTCTCAATTAGAATCCATTCAGTCGAAGCGGTTACTCTCCTAGGCCTATGTCAGACCTTGCGAATCGAGCGATTCGCTAGCGCACGCGGTCGCGTCGCGGCCAGCGAATCGCTCGATTGGCTTGTACCGCAGCTAGCAAATCACTCGATTCGCAGCCTGACATTGGCTTGACAGGTTCCGGTGCTCTGCTGACAAGTGAAAAGTTGGGAATGATTATAAAT